CCTCAAGTCTGGCATCGGCTCCTTCTTCCAAGGTCCTCCACTGCGACCCTGTTCTCGATGGTGCCGGCTTCCCACTCCGGGTCGCACGACCCATCTCTTCTGCTCTTGCCTCGATGAGCCCGCAGCCAAGCTTCCCGAAACGGAGCTGCCAGTTGCCCTCGAGACGCCCAGCTTACGGACACCTCAGAACACGACGAGCGGGACTCGTAGACGGTGCCATTCCATTCAAACTTGTCCATGTAACCGAGTTGCGAAACTGGACCAGCGATCTGAGGCAGACGGTCGCTCGGCTTCTGCCACAAGGCAGGATCGAGCACGCGCCGCATGTCCTGGACATCCAAGTTATGCCGGCCTGCAACAGTGCCGCCATAAGAGGTCTGCACTTCGAAAGGAGTTAATTGAATCGGACGCATCTTGCCAGCGGAGCCAAAGTCCATCTCTGCAGCGCTGCCGATGTGAACGACGGGGCGCAAAGCTTTGCCTTTGCGACGTGCCCTGCAACCTTCACACAGAGAGACCACGTGATAATAGCCGTGCCGACAGATCTTCCACTTTGTTGCGGACGCATCGGAATACTTATAGCAAGACTCGCTGCACATGTGCTTCAGAAGTGAAGGAGCCAGGTCGTGCAAGTCCTCGAACGCCACAGACCGAAACTAACCACGACCGGCTCAAAGCCTTGTCATTCTAAGTTCCCTTTGTTTTCCTCCGACAAGAAAAAAAACACGAACACGAACTGCCGTGAAGAACGACTAGAGCTAGCACGCTCTCCATGACATGCCTAGACGCCTGGCAAAAGGCAGCCTGCCACGCGTCGGCGTCGGCTGCCGACTCTGCTTCGGCGGCGAGCACACTGCGCAAGCGATAACCAGGCGTCTGCGCCACAGACAAACGGTTAATGGGAGTGCTGAAAATCGACGAAGCACCGCCCGTCGATTCCTCCAGTCTCATCTCCGGCCGGCGCCAGTCTTCTTCTGAAGAATTAGCAAGAAACTGACGTTGATCTTCAGACAGATCCGGCAGTTCCTTCAGCAAATCCAAATCGCATCCGCCATCGTACTTGCACAGGTTGCGTGCCACAGAACTAATGCTCACGGCCCGACCCGCATCCAAATCACCGAAAATACGCGGTGCGGCTTGCACCGATGCATGGGCTATGGACTCGAAGCTCGCGACCGTCATGCACATGAAAGTCCGGAGGCACCGCTGAAGCACATGTTTCTCCTCCCGCAGCATTCTCGCGAGATCGCTCACGACTTGCATGTGACGACAAACCAACCAAACCAAGATGTGAGGATGTAAAGATCCCCGACCCTGAGCTTCGATTTCGCCACGGAAAGCTAGAATGGGACCCAGCATGCCGGCGCCAGTCGAGGCCGCCGCCGCGCCGTCGCTGCACCACTCCTTCGCTCCGCGACGAGGCGCGTTACGTCGGCAATCCAGTGTGTCTGGCCGCACGTTCAAGACGTGCTGGAAGAAAAGACGCATCAGGAACTCGAACTGAACCGTCTGACCCACGGGATCCTGCGCCAGTCGGCGCAACATGTCCCGATACTTTGGCAACGCGCTCTCCATGTCTGCGCTCACGGCGCCCAGATCGACGGCTTCTCCTTGAACCACTAGAAGCAATGGATGCTGAGTGTCCGCCACGTTCGGAGTCAGGAAAATCAATGGAGGCCCGAACGCTTCCACGTAAGCCACACCTTCGTGCCGACACAGCCGACGATGACCGTCCGTGCCCAGCACCGTGGCAGAGGCCGCATTCATGGCGTGCAACGCATCCTTGACCGACTGCGGCACTGCAGCTTCTTTGAAGAACTGATCCGTGCCCCCAGTATCTGGAGCAACCCGGGCGGCCCTGGCGAGATCTTCGGCCTTCAGCTCCCCTAGCTTCTTCGCGAGCGCCATACCCCCGTTCTTCAGGAAATTGTAGGACGCGGCCCGTTTCAAGCGAGACACCGTCGCCATCATGTGTAGTGCCGTCCAATCACCGGAGAAGCGATTTTGTACGGATTGACTTCCCATTACGGGTCGCCCCTCCTGTGCCTCCTCTGCCTCATCATCTGGCTCGCCGTCCACCACGTACGCAAGCTCTTCGCGCAAGAGCAAGCATGCAGCCCACTCGGACGTGGACAGGTTGGTGTCCCTCTCGAAAAGATTTCCCGCGTCGCCATACCGCCATAGTCTGGGCTTGGCCATGGTCCATATCTTCCAATCCCACAAACTCAACGGCTGCTTTCCACGTGCCACCAGCAAATATGCCGCCTGACCGTGCTCCTCTTTTGCATCTCTATGCTGGGGATCGGATTCTGGCACAGCCCGATCATTCTCCTGCCCTCCACCGGGCTGCCCAGGGTCTGCTTCTGACGCAACTTGGCAATCCTCCTGTTCTGCATTTGTCCGCACAAGATCTGCTTCCGGAACATGCAGCCATTTGGACTTGCCCATGACGGCATCTCGCAATTCCCGCTCCAGGCGACTTTGCTGCTCCGCAGCGGAGAGTTGCCTGCAGGACTCATGCATCTGACGACAGAGATCCAAAATCGTTTCGCGACCCAGCTCGTCCACCAGAGTACGCTGCTCGTCCACCACGGTTTCCATCTCCAACGCAACCGACCGAGCGCCTGCCTCCTGCAGGTCTTCCAGCTTCTGCAACATGCTCACAACCAGCATTGAGATTTCTCGGCCGCGAGCACTAAAGTCCTGAACTTGCGGCTCCATGGCTAAGACGCATGTCTCGGGCTCCGAAGAATCACGAGCTTGCTGAGCAACTTCGGTCGCCTCGGCAGGCCCGCTTTGCCGAACGACACCGGGCCCGTCCTCACCAACGGGAACAGCCACCACGCAATCCAGCACCGGAGGAGGCACAACGGCATCCTGCGCTTCTTTAATCAGTCACGACACACATGAGAAATAATAATGTCACGAAACATAAGAAACAAAGAAATGAATATTGTACAGCACGATCCTGGTCGCCGCACCATTCGGCCAAGAGCGATCGATTGATGTCAGTCACGCCGCTTTTATAAACCGGGTTTGTGTTTTGCAGCGCTTCAGCTTGCGCGAGGAACTCGTTCCTGTCAAGCTGCAACCGCGCTATTCGGCTCACCGTCTCCCTGCTCTCCGCCTGCGCATTTGGACTTGGCAGGTCAACGCAAAAGGACACAGCCAAAGCGTCGTTGAGCTTCTTGGGTGGCAAGCTGTCCAAGGCATACTGGGCATCTCCGTTGTGGAAAACAACCGCGGACCCCAGCAAACCGGATTGCTGAAACACGAAGTCCCAAGAGTGGCTCGGCCTGTTGCTGTTCTCAGTCTGAGAAGCGCCCCCGGCACGCAACACTACTTTCGTTGCCACGGTCCTCGCCAGCGCCAGACACATGTCGTGCGTCATGTTCGCTTTCCATAGTAACGGATCCGGACGACCCAACCACAAATCGTTGGCCAAAGCGTATTTGCAAAGCCAAGGTTTGTTCCCCGAAAAGGCCTCTACGCAGTCCTCGCACACGGCAGCAGGAACATCCCCTCGTGTCATCTCAGCCGTAACTCGGCGTTTGTGCAGCAAGACTGGTACTGCATCTCCAAACGTGCCCACATCGACGCTGGAGGCTTCTAGCTCCTGACGACACTCGATGGCCACTGACAACTCTCTCTCCCTTGCCGTTATACCCCTTATAGTCCCTCAAACCACACCTGCATCACGTGTCTCAAGCACTGCCCAACCCGTCCTTCATCGGAATGAGAGGCCATCTCTCGTGATAACGTTTCACAGACAGCATCTCCCAAACCCTGTCGGCCGCTGCCATGAAGCATTTGGACCCCTTCAAATAACACTCTTGCATCGATTCCCGCCAGAAACACCTCGCGCAGAAGGCGCATCCGATGCGCTCCCGTGGGTACGACAATGCCGATGCTTCCCAATCCATAGCGGGCCGCCGCAAAAACTCTGCATAGTTGCCCACGTAGTGTCGCACTTCGGAGCCCACAACCACGTGCGGACACAAAGACTCCAAATGCAGATAAGCATTCCGATATCGTTGCAGACCTCCGTGTTTGTCGTCGATGTGGCCCAGAAGTTCTTCCCGCGTTCCGAAACCGACGCCATCACAGAGTAGACAAGGCTGCTCTTCAACTTGAACCGCACGTTCGGGCCACACCCTCAACGACTCCTTGTCCTCCCGCACGTGCAGCCGAGACGCATGCTGAAAGCGCTTGAACGGGTTGTCTGGTTCGTTTGCTGTGTCGCCCCGTCCTCCATCCATATTGCTGGCCCAAGCTTTTGCCGAAAACACTCGTTCCTGGCGTTGCCTCGCTTCGCGATCATCTTTCCTCTCCTGGTTCCGGCCAGACCTCT